TTAGCACCTTTTCACCGAAATCGAAGGAGATTGCCTCGGAAACAGCGTCAGCATGAATCTTCCCGTAAAGCCACTCGACAGCTGATGAAGAGGAATCCCCCGTCGTCCTCTGCTGGAACCGACCTACGAATCTCTTCACCCAACACTTTCACTCGAAATGGAAGTAAGCTCAACGATAGTAAGCAACACTAGTGGCAATGTCCGACTTTTGAGCCCAGAGAATAAGTAGATTTGTAGGCTATTCTTAGATTTTAATATGAGATGTATTCACATTATTTTATTTAAGGTGCTGAAGCACCGCTATATATTCCCACACATAGCATTGTGAGAATATTCAACCACCAGGCCCTTATCAGTCCGAACGAAATAGGACGAATACATCGCATACAAGTGATTTACTGTTAGTCTCGAAATTCCACTTAGGAACGTAGATTTTAAATAAGAGCATAGAGGGATGCTGATGAGGAAGAGGATGGAGTGAGGGCCTTAAAATCTACTTATTCTACTGAAGCCTCGGTTTCAGTAGCCGAAGCAATCTGAGCCTTGTCTAGAAGTTATTTGACCTTGTTTTTCCAACTTGGTCATATTGTCAGATCGACCCAGAGGGGCGAACCTTGTCCTGAGACCATGATATACATGACAATTTTCAGCTTTGGATCATGTACTTGGTACATTCCCAGCATTGTAGTCGGCATCGTCAGTGAGCCTTGCCATTCTTGGCACCAACTATCTGCTACCCCTCCTTCTGTCCTGGTGCCATCATCTATCCTTGTTATCTTCGCATCACTTTCTCACTATAACAATTTCTTACTTGCTAATTTAAGTTTAATTCAGGTATGCCCTTGTGAGCGCATTTAGTGATGAAGCCAGGATTCTCGGAATTATTTACATTCCCATCTCCTGTTTGATCTCAGCACGATATTTTTTCCGAGACGTCTACAACCTCAACATGAATATCTTCTAAAACGTTTCCTTTCTTACCAGGGGAAAAGGTTAACCCATTCTTGAGGAGATCCGTTGTTTCGAAATCAAGGATTTCGGTTAAGTTCACTAACTTATCATCATCTTCGTTGCTTGCATTACAAAAACTTCAGAATCCTCCCATTCTATTATCCCATATCTAGGCAACTTCTTGTCATTTTTCATATTTCTCAAATCTCGAACAATATATAACTTCTGGTCAGTCATATTCTGTAGTTTTTGTAAATCCTCCGAAATAAGAACCCTACCTACATCTTGCTTGAGTCTAGACTATTTATTTAAATAGCTTAGTCCAGTCAGTCTCGTAATTTCCCTCTGATTTCTGGATAAAGTATTGGATAAAGCGTGATAAAGTATTTTATTAACTGTATCCAAATGCCATTTACTCACTAGATTTCTGAGCCTAGCAGCGATACGATAACGTTTGCAACAATTTTAAAAGGTCAAATGGCATGATTGACCTACAATTGTCTTGTCTATTCAGCTGCTACCATACTAAAGGCCATATCATATTGGTCTTCATAGCTCTCTGGTCTAACTTAAAAATGTATTTATTTATTTTATTTTTACGACTTGAAATATCTTAAAGACGTGAGCGAGCGCTGACACTCTCGATTTGAGTTACCACGACTGACATTGGCTGAATGAAACCAGGGCTGAGATGCAATAAGAAAAAGTGAAAAGATACCCACACGAGCAAAGTAGACGGTCTACTTACCAACCGTTGTGACAATTGTTATGCAAAGCAACAAGGCCTGGTCGAAGCTCCAATTCTTCACCTCCTCCCCGTTCTCCTCCCGGTCGGTCGCAATTTGCCTTAGGCCAGATCGTGTCGGGCTTGACGCCGCCTCGAGCGTCGTCAAGAGGCGTTGTTCGTGTTGCGTATGTCCAGCATCCACCGGAACTGGGGCTCTTTCAGGCCCAAGCGATGCCAGTTGGCCTCGATGCAAATGACTGGGCAGAATGCCGGCAGAACTGGCGCGGACCACAGTCAGCAGAAAGGCGTAGAGATCGTCGCCTGGCAAGGAATGAAGAAAATTGCGACAAAAAACGCGGATGGAGCCCAGATTGACAAGAAAAAGTGGAAGAGCTCGTCGAATCGAAGTAGACGGCCCGAGATGAAGAGGCCATGGAAGGCTCCAAATGGAAGATTGCTGATGATCATTTAGCCCTGCCCGCCAGAATGAAGGCAGGAATTTATAGAAATGATAAAATTATAAAGTAACACCTTGTGTCTGAAGCCCCATCAGACGCCATTCAGCTACCATTGGGTGTGTGATGAAGAGGTTCAAAGATCGATTCTGGAACATTCTAGTTGACGCCACCCCTGAAGCAATCTACTTCGATTTAGGTAAAATGAATTGACCAGTCGTAAGTCAGATTATGAACATATTCATAGCAAGATATCCATCTTACAGCCATACCTAAGCTGATAAGTAAAGAAAATGCATCGGTTTATCCTAAAATTCTGTATACACATACATATAAATATACATATATATACATATAAATATATATATATATATATATATATAATTTGATGACTAAGGAGAGATGTCACATTCCGATCTACTTACTCTGAGCTACCACTGCTGGTTTCATGCATGTGCATAAACATGTAGGCACAGAGCGCATATAAGTAGACACATCCATAGGCTTCTCGGATTTAATATGACAAGATCTTATATTTGGAGTATATATGTGTGTGTGTATGCGCCTGTTCGTATGTACTTTGTGCCTTCATGTGTATGCATATGTACAAAACCAGCAGTGGTAGCTTAGAAACTTACATCTGACCTTGATCATCAAGGTTTTATATTGTGCGTAATGCTGTATTCAGGTCCGGTTAAATCGGTGAGCTAAAGAGAAAACCGCCGTTTTCTTTTAGTGGAGTCGACGCTCGAAATTCTTTATCACAAACAGACACACACATAAACTTTGCTTAAAAATAGAAGGGAGATTAACAATTATAAACCAAAAGAGTCCTCAAAACCCAAGTTTTTTCGAATAAATTATTGCTTACACCTCTTTGTATAAAGCTAGTGTCCGACTTAATAATGCCGACGGCGGTTCCATAACCCACGTTTTAGACCCAAAGCCTTGCTAAGTAAGATCCTTCAGGGTCAGCAGGGCGAATTAGAGACAGAGACTATCGTCCCTAAATGAGCTCTAAGAACCTGGCCAGCCATTCACAGGATGGTGATGCCTTAATTGGATGACACCTCGACTCAGATTTCGAAAGAGGAAACTTTCAACTGCCAGGAATCCGAATATGTATTGAACAAATAAAGTAAAACTATGGCAATTTTTATGCCAACAGTAACCTCATTTTAACAGACAAGAGTCATCTCTGTTAATCTCGTCATGAGTAAATGACCTCATTCGGGTTCACAGAATACAGGCCATAGAAACAAAGGTAAAAAAAAAGGATTATAAATAATCGAATAAATGTAACAATTGAGTGACCGCTCATAAGGGTCTAAACAAAATCATTAAAATTCACCGATACTTTAGTTTGTCCATCGATCAAGAACAGATATTTGATGCAAAAAAAGACGTAATTTTATTAAAGATAATGAAGATATGAAGACCAAGATGTTGTGGCCTCTGATATGATCGTGGTCTCATTTCGATTTATAGAAAAATGTATACCGAACGATCAGAACTAGCGAAACACATCGCACAGACTGGACACGAGATCAATTGGAGGGCAACAGAAAGAAGAGCACATACGGTGACAACACAAGGAGGCGGAAGATAAGGGAGGTCATTGACATGCTTGGGGAGAAAAATCGAATGAACAGGAGATTGGAGTTAGCGATAACTTTGCCTACTGCCTAAGCAAACTCGGGGAAAGCCAGAATAGAGCAAGACCAGCAAAAAGGAGACGCCTGGATCAAGGATCTGCCGCCAACCGGAGGAAAAGGGATCGCGATGACGAAAATGGGGGGCAGGGATTTTCGGCAACAAAGTGAAGATGTTGTCAGTGTGTGATGTCCTTTTCGTTTAAACTAGTACAACTTTGGGGGCCAGGCGGTCAGGGAGCTGGGCAGACGGATGAGCAAACCGTCACGGAAATTCGGCGTTATGGCCAAAATGTACCAGAAATCCACTTGAGATGCCGCATGCGACCAGAGATGGGCGTCCACAGTTTGCTCAGATAACATGGGTTTAATCAAGAAGACGACCTGTGAAGGGAAGTTCTAATATCTGCAAGCATGGAAATCATAGCTTAGGCGCTCTGCTCAATGAAGCGACAGTGTACGTGCTTGTAGGAGTGAAACACGTACTGGGACTGGAACCGAGTGAAATCGGTCAAGCAGAAAGTGGAGGAGCGGATCTACGAAACAATGAGGGGATCCGGATTGGAGGCCCGAGTCGGATCAGCAAGTGTGATGAGGCCACATTAGATTTGTCACAAAAGGGCATGCATTTTGACGAGTGGAATGCAAACAAGTGAGAAGTTGCGATAGGGCGGCAGTGGGATTAGAGGGTAAAGAGTAGATAGATAGGCCGGGAGAGAAAGAGGAGTGATAGTGTAACCGTTTTCGAGGGATTGACTTAACTCGTCTCTTTGACGAGTTCGTAGCTTGGTGTGAGGAATGGCAAAACTCACTGATGATGCTGACTACGATGCCGGCGAAACGTTTGAGAATGTACCAAGTCCACT